GAGTCCTGAGAGAGAATGTGGAAGACAAACATGAGTTACCATAATGGTTACACATTGGCTCCCAGCCCTGTTCCAGGGCAACTGGCTGCCAACCGGCGCTGCTGGCTCTATCAGAGCTCACAGCATGAGGCAGGATCGGGAGCAGGGTCAGAAGTCAGCAGCCAGCTCCCCAGGCGCAGAGCCAGCAGGTGGGAGCCAATACGCACTGTAAAACATATACTGCAGAGCCTGTAGCACGCAACCACTAAGATTTTCCTAATTACCAGATTTTCCAGTTACCTAATTAACTGTTTTTTAACATCCCTCCTGTCCAGCCACCTTCGTAGGGATGTACGAGTTTAACCAATAAGCTGTTAATGGTTAAACCCTGCAACTCTGCTAGGGAGCGCAGAGCTGGCAGCTGGGAGCATGCCCATGAGTCTGGGGAGCCCTTTAGCACCTTTCCTTCTCTACTCCTACATCCCTAGGTAACACACAGAACCGTGCATTCAACAGAATTTGTATTGGTTACATGGTTAATATTTGTATATATTTTTTGCATCCCTACCATCGAGTGTGCCCTGTCAAAGCTGGGCACAGAAACAGGCTTGAAATAAGTTTATTTTTGAAAGTTGTCACGCTGAGCATGATGTCATGCTTGAAGTGACTTTCCAAAGTGACATTGTAGAAGAGTTCCCTATTTGTTATTCTCTCTGTTACCTGCAGGTCCAATTTGTTTGTTTTTTAATTAGTTAAGTGGTAGTACCTTTTGCCTGGTACACTCTCATCATTTAATGAATATTTTGAACTCAAAGCCATCTGGGGAGCCAGATGATGTCTGAGGAAAAATAAGCTCCAGCTCATTCTGTAGGGCTAACAGATATTCCAGTGAATAACATCCATTATATGTCATCGGTGGCTCTCCTAGGGTGTGTCTAGACTATTGGGTTTTTTCGAAAAAAAGTGGCCTTTTTTTTAAAAAAAACTTCCCCTGCGTCTAGACTGCTGGCAAGTTCTTTCTAAAGTAAATTGAAAGAACACAGCGGTTTTTTCGACCGCAGAAAACCTCGTTTTGCAAGGAAGAATGCCTTTTTTTGAAAGCGCTCTTTCGAAAAAAGGCGCTATGCTGTGCATACTGTGCTTTTTCGAAAGAGAGCATCCAGACTGCCTGGGGTGCTCTCTTTTGAAAAAGCGTTTTGCTTTTTCGAAAGTATTGCTTGCAGTCTAAATGCTCTTTTTCGAAAGAATCTTTCGAAAAAGCCTCTTTTGGAAGAGGCTTGCAGTCTAGATGTAGCCCTCGAGTTGGCATAGAACTATAGAAAGGCAGGGTGAAGGGACCTCAGAAGGTCATCAAATCTATTGCCTCATGCTGAGGCAGGACCCAAGCATACCTAGGTCATTCCTGACAGGTGTTTGTCTAATTGTTTAATAAAATTGACCAAAACAAAATTATATCCGCCTCAGATCACCAAAAAAAAAACCATTTCCCCACGCATTTGATTTCTCTCAAAGGCCCATGTCTGCAGGAGCCTGCATAAATTCTGTACAGGATGGTGACAAACTTAATTGTATGACATGTGCAGTTGTGAATGTAATTGGCACACTGAGTGTGCAAAATCTGTAACTGCATGCAATAGTGACTTAATAAACAAAAGAAAACACCTGGTCCTAGAAGTGTCATACAGTGTCCTTTTCCCACTGAGCGGCAACAGTAGTTTCACTAATATAAAAGTTATAGTTTAGCATCCATCTTTTTTTACACACCTCCTACTTTTTCAGTGGGAGATCTGTTGTTGTTGATGCGAACAGCATGACCCAAACTTTACCCACCTAGTCCAGGCGCCCTAATTAAGTACAGGCAGTCCCCAGGTTACGTACAAGATAGGGACTATAGGTTTGTTCTTAAGTTGAATTTGTATGTAAGTCAGAACTGGCGTCCAGATTCAGCCGCTGCTGAAACTGACCAGCAGCTGACTACAGGAAGCCCGAGGCAG